CTGCCATACCCCTACCACAGAGAGAGCCGGAATATCTGCCGGCGATGCAGCTTACCGTCTCTGGGTCTTGGTGTGGGTGTTCTCCAACAATCTATGAGGTCTTTCGCAATTTGCAAAGTTCATGGCGGCACAATGCTGTGTAAGCCTGAAATTAGCCAAATCCAGAATCACGTTTCCCAACTTCAGCCGCATGAATGCCGCCAAAGCATCGCAGGACGAATCGGTGTCACGGTATCTTCTATGACACGGAAAAGTGCAACCTCGCTCGACGAGGTTCTGCAATTACGTCGAATGTGCAGTGCTTCACGTGACACGGCCGTAATGAATCGAAGCTCTGTGTTCAAATCATACAGTGATTGCATATTTACGTGTCTCACCGGAGCAAAAGACTTCGCAAATGAAGGATGATCATCCAGTTTCAAGAAGTCTCGTGATGCTTGTCGGAGCTCATCTTCCAAGAAGCAGTTGGAGAGGTTCGCCCTCTTTTTGTCCGTTGGCGAAAANNCCAACCAAACACATACGATCATGCTCGTGACCGTTCGGTTCAGGCTTCCGTTTCCTACCGGGTTTAGTCGGAGGGGACAGGACCTAGACAACACAGCAAGCGCACGGTCAGCCCTCTTTTTGTCCGTTGGCGAAAAACCGTCCAGTCAGTCAGTCAGCCGGGCCGGTCAGAGTTTCGAACTGGTCGGAACCGGCAGTAACTGACGGACCGGTACCCAACAGTTTAACCGATCTTTCCCAAGCCATACATAACATGGAACTCTACGTTCAAAAACAAAGCTTGAATTAGATCGATAGCTCCAGAAGCACCGAGGCACCTGTAATCAGGTGAACTGCAATTTTAACCATTAATCCTAAATCGGGCTCTACCAGAATCCCGCAAAAGTTTCGGATTGTGTTTGGTTAAATTTTCTTTTCCCGCCACCGCCCTGCCTTCCGCCTTCTTTTCCGGTTCTAGTACGCCTCTCGTTCCTGTCCGGCGTACCGGTGAGGCTCTTGAGTCTTAACAGCCGGCACGCCGCTCAGTACCGTTCAAGGCTTTCCGGTGATGTCCGGCCGTACCCGAGCTGCTTCGGACTCCGAATTAGGTCTGCTACTGCCGTCTTTTGCTTACTCTTCCTGGGGTATTGCCGTTGTTGGACTTCCGGTTGGATTTCCAGTTCACTAACTTCTACCGACCGGTTTTTCAGTGATTCAGGAGAGGTTTTGTTGAGCTTGAGCAGAATTGTGTTCTTTGAACGAACGGTCCGTAGGTTGCCGTGAAATCGCAGCGCGGTTGCGTTTTGTGCAATTGAGTCTGCTGGCCCCTGCGAATCCTGTCCTTCGCGACTTAGAGTTTGCCTTGGCGTTGCACTGACGGGTTGTCTGTGCTTTTCAGCCTTGAGCTGGGTTCTCCCACAACAAGACGTGTATTGCGAACATGGTGTGCAGAGGTCTTAACTCCTACCTGGTTGGGTTAGGAGCATGGAGCCTCAACGGACTCAGCCGCCCATCCACCCCTGTCACATCAAGAGCTGGTTGAAACATACCGTTTAGCAGAGCAACTCATGTTGCTGTGGTTTGCTGTAAGTGTAAGGCGATCCACGGCAAAACTGGTGAGTTGGATGAAGGAGTTGTCGAAGTTGAGATTGTCGCGCTCAACGTGCAAATTTGCAGGGCAAACAACTCCATGTTTAACCTCCACCCAAAGTGCTTGCCGACACTTGCATGAGGTCCGTGGGCACTATCCAACAGGTCAAAACCGTCCGGTTGGCTGCGACATGCATTGAAGAAGATATGTGAGGATTTGTCTTTGTAGCACTCCAGGAAAACGGGCATGTTGTCAACTGTGGCAGACATGACATGGATTTCGAGACTGCCATGTGCCCAAGGCGCAATCACCTCACCGGTTTATCTGCGGAGTCCGCCCCATTCCTGATGCCTGCTGAGTGATCTGTGGTGTGAAGAAGCTCTACCGTGCTGGCATGTGTTGGCTGCAGGGGGGTTCACACAAGAAGAGGCAGATTTTCAGAAATAGTTTGTTTTCCAGCATTGCATTGCAGATGGCGCGTAGCTCGTACGGTGCTCAGCAGAACCGCATCTCTTTGACCATCTTTGGTTCGATTTGTGTCAGAGTGTGGAGGCTGTCATAGCAGGGAGCGCTTGGTGTCTTGGTGTTGTTGCTTTCGCTTTTCTGAGGTCCTTCGCCGCTCTGGTGGTTGGTTGCCTGAGCGCATGGGCCGTGTGTCAGTGCTTCGTGAATGGGCCCGCCGCAAGGCGCGAGGTCTCCGTGGCTGCCGCTGCGGAAGTGAAGTACGAAACGGATATGCCTGCGGAAAACGGCGTCTACCCAGTGGGCAATGCCAAGCGGACTGCGCCCTACGGCGAGCGTGACCCCTTGCCGGAGGGGTACGGCATCCGCACCGGCCTGTCGGACTTGCTGAAGCCCCTTAATGCCGAGGCAGGCGTTGTGGCCAAGGAGGACAGCATCCCCACCGTGCTTGTGATGGCCCCGGCCACGCGTAGCAGTGTAGTTTTCGCAGTCGAACAGTGTAGTACATTGAGCTTTCTTGTCGACCAGTATTGCCCAAGGTGATGGTGACTGGCATTGTCCTGCTTTTCCTCTTCTACTTGCTGCTGCTGCTTCTCGACAACCAGTCTGTGCTGCTGCCGCCGGAGGATGAGTTCGATGAGTACGTGCAGAACTTCCTCCCATATTTCTTCTTCGGTGAGAAGTGAGTTCGAGCCCAAACAGATAGTAGGAAGCCCTGATTCCATGGAGCTCAGCCATTTTGGCATAGAGTCGGAGAGTTCTGCTTAGTGAAACTGTTTCTGAGTTTTTGCAAAAGCCCGCTTTCTTCTGCTCTTTTGCATCTGTTCTTACATGCATAGTGTGCATGGGGTCAGGCGCAATGAGTGTGTGTAGATCCGACTGCACCGATCTTCTCCACAGAGCTTTGCCTCAAGCTGCCCGAAGAGCCATCCTGCGGCCTGGGGCCATGGAGTCCTTCAAGGCCCTTCTAGCGGGCGACACCGATGAAGAGAATCAGCCGGACATCGTGCAGCTGAGTGGCCTGGTTCCACCGTTGCAAATCGACACAGCTCAATGCACTATGGTCATCATCATGCCCCGAAACAAGACTGCCGGCGGTGCAGTGGACCACAAGGAGGTGGTGAACGACCCTTTGAGCAAAGCCAAACGTATCTTTGACATTCTCAGCAATGATGAAAGTTGCAAGACCTTGCAAAAGCTAGAGCACATCAAGTCGGACACGCCCATGAGCATGGCAGACTACCAGGCCAGGTTGCATATCACTGCGACGCTTGCATAGTAAGTCAAGTGTCAAGTTAGCGCGAGTTCCTCACGTCTCTTTCTGGATAGTTGTGAATGCTCTCATCATAACACCACATGTACGGCCAGAACTGTTGCCATTCCACAGTCATACGCTGTGCGGTCGCCGGAAAACCATACAAATGCACGATCAAGGCGGACATTCGCAAGCGGCTGCTCGAAGTTCTCGAGTCCTCTGGTCTCCAGGCGTGGACTCCAGCTCACTGTCCTAAACCCTAAACCCTAACCCTTAAACCGTAAACCGGGGACGGGCAGCTGACCCTAAAGCTTCCCCCAGCTCCCAGCTAAGGCCCAGTGGAGTAAGCGTGTGCGACCGAAAGCCCCGAAGTCCTCGCAGAGGGCACCAGACTTGAATCTCGAAAGGTTTGATCTTGAAGCCCAAAGATTGAACTGGAGGGGTTCTAGAATCTAGAATCTAGAGCCAAAGATCCTTTGTAGGAGGATCCAACCTGCTGCCGAGCTTCGCAACGGGTAAATTCACGTGGCAGGCTTGGCCTCCAGCCTTGAGTCATCAAGCCTGAGCCCTGAATGCCCCCCCCGAGCTGTACAACCCTAAACGTAAACCCTAAAACCCTGAACCCTAAACCCTAAACCCTAAACCCTAAACCCTAAAAACCTTAAACCCTAAACCTTCTACGACCTGACAGGTCCAGCATTTTCCCAGTCTTGACGAGGACGAGACGTTCCTGAAGCTCGGAGCCCGGGCCAAGGATGTTGGGATGTATAGAGACAGTTCGAAGGTTGGCTTAAGCATGGCCATGTTGGATGCTTGGGGTTCCATAGTTCGATGCAGCTGAGGTGATACTCAGAGTCATCGTAGTCGCTTGCAGTGGTAGTGCTCGCAAGTGTGGCGAGGCCAGTAATCGTAATCAGTGTTGGGAGAATGAGAGTAGCAAAGGAAAGCTCAGCAAGAAAGCAAGAGGAGTAGTAGCAGGAGCAAAAAGAGCTGGCCCGTAGTAAGAGCAAAATGCATCGTTCTGTATCGCACCCGGCACTCCGGTACTGTTGCAAATGGCAGTGCCGTTGCCAAGGTGTAGCAGTAGTAGTAGTAGTAGTAGTAGTAGTTGTTGTAGTAGTAGTTGTAGT